TCTTGATTATTGATTTGTTCTAATAAAAGAATAAATGAAAGTTATTGATCAGTTGTTCAGTCAAATTGTTACTCTTCCTTTGTGTGTGTGTGTGTGTGTGTGTGTGTGTGTGATCTCGTCAGTGTGTATTTTTGTCTGTGTTGTGACTACAGCTGTCAATCATCCTGCTCTTCTCTTTATGTCTGTTTCTGTAAAATTCTATGAAATTTAAATTACTCGTCCCGTTTTACAGTGTGTGTGTTGAAGGGCGTTTCCATGGTAACAGCAGATGAAGCGTTGTCAGGGCGGCTGTCAGTCACAATCCTGTTCATTACTGTTCAATCTTGAACCTCTCTCTCTCCCGTTGTGTGTATACCTTGATCGCCCTCTCTCTCTCAGTGTGAGTGATTTTATTTTCTATCAGGATGAAAATCGACTCGTCGACATCGTCGTCGTGGTAACGTTTCACTTCACAGTGTTGTTGAAGCTGCTGAAATAAAGCTGAGCTGCTGGTGAAGTACTTAAGTATTTTCCACCTTGTATTACATTTTAAAGTTAAGCACTGAGACGACAGCAGTGAAATATCAGATTCATTCATTAACACGACAACAAGTTCGTACTAACACACTGAGTCAATAAAGTTTGTTCAGTCACCTTGAACCAATAGAAATGCTTACTGATGACGAATCATTTAAAAAACATTGTCATGTCTCGACTCACTGCAGTGTGTGTGTTTGTGTGTCAATGTAAGTTTGTGAGTGTGAGTGTGTGTGTGTGTGTGTGTGTGTGTGTGTGTGTGTGTCAGCAGATCAATGGTCCTTGAGGAGAATCGATTAGAAAAACAAGAGTTTTAATCACCGCAGAGAAAAGAAGAAGAAGAAGAGATGAGAGAGAGGAAGAGGAGGTAGGGGGTAGGAGGGATGAGCAAGGACAATAAACACTGATGAAGAGAGAGAGAGAGAGAGTTTCTTCATATGTGAAATTCAACTCACATGATCATGCCATGATCTTAGTTTTCTGCAGTTTTTCCTCTCAGGTCACATTTCTGAGGTCGGCTCTGACATGTTCGGTCCCAGATTGTGTGTGACAGAAATGTTTTAGAAAAGTGTGTGTTCATATCACATAAGATAAAAATGTTTCTGTGTGATTCATGAAACTAATCTCACTCGAACTAATAGTAAAGATAATGTGCACAGCAACAATTAACATAATTAACAGGACATTGATTCCATATAAGGCTTCACTTCCTGTCCCTGTGGTCATTCATGAAAACATCCCTGTGTAAAAACAAAAGTTAAAGTCCATGATTTTATAAGCGTCATCAGCGAATTAAGAGACGACTGAGGCCGAGCTGTTGAGGCTGCGTCACCTGCAGGTGGCGCTGTGACTGAGATAAAGAAGAAACGTTTCACTGTGATTGATTGTTAGTGTTGGCTCCATCGATATGATCACATTGAGTTAACGGGAGCGATGAGTAAATATTTGTAACCTGCGGTCGGAGCCGACAGGTGGAGGTTGGGTCGGTGGAGGAGCTCAGTCAACCAGCAGGACACAGCAGCAGGGGGCGAGCAGAGGGACTGATGGGAAATGTTTGCAGCTTAAATAGAGTGTGTAATATAGAGGGTTGTGGAGAGTGAGGCAGGTCACATGATGAGAGCAGCTCACAAGCATCACTTCAATAATGTTCAGCAGATTGACCGAATAACAAAACATTCATGTCTGTGATTTTTAATTTCTGTAAGTGCCTGAAAGAAAAATCAAGAATCACCCGAACGAATCATATAAAAACAAATATGTCTTCATGTTGTCTTGTCGTACAGTGTGTGTTTATGTTTCTGTCTTAACGAGTCTGTTGATTGATTAACGAACGATCGATCGAAACAGAATGTGACTCACAAACTGTCCAAGAGAAAAACCAACTGCACATGAACACACACACATAAACACGTACACACACACACACATAAACACGTACACACACACACACACGTTTTGTTCGTGTTTTGGCTTTTCTCCCTCTTGTTAACCTCCCAACTCCCACTCACCTATCAGCCAATCACACGCAACCCCTGCCATCTGTAAACCAATCAAATCAAACCCAGCTCACACACAGATGGGGGGGGGGTAATTCTATTACCAGAGTTTTACTGAGACGTGAGGAGAAGCAGCTGCAGCGTATTGACAACATTTACACACACACACACACACACACACACACACACACACACACACACAAGCAGAGGCTGTGGTTTGAATTTTTGAAGCTCTTAAGTGAGCACCAGGCTTTTATTCTGAAGTCTTCCAGTTATAGATTTTTACTGTCAAAGTCAAAGGTTTGTTCAAACACACACACACACACACACACACACACACTCAGAGATCTGTCGTCAGTTAAGTTGTTTCTCAGTGATTTATTTTAATGTTCATGTTGAAGTCTAGAACATGTCATGCTTTTATTCTGAAGTATGGAACATTTCACGTCTCCTCTTTGTTGTGTTTGTCACATGGTTCATATTATTTGTTGAAGATTTTGTGTGTTTGTGGCTCAACAGACCACGTTTGTTAATCAACGATTTCAACACCATCACTTTTTCATGGTTTTATTTTTCTGTTTAATGCTGTTTGTATTTTGTCATGTGTTTGTTCATGAGGTGTCACTTCCTGTCCACAGGTTCCCCCTTCCTGTTTGTGAACACATCAGGTCGTCATGGCGGTCAACGTGCTCAGCTGCTGCTGCCCCCCCTCAAAGAGAACGACACGCACTGCGTCAGCTTCCTGTTCTACCAGGGGGGGGGGCGTGAGGGCGCTACACCCGCCACGCTCAACGTCTACATCAAAGGTACGAGGACACAGAACCGTGTGTGAGGGTGGAGCTAACAGTTGTGTGGGTGGAGCTCTCAGGTGGGAGGAGTCTGTTGATGTTGTTGCGTCTCTTACAGAGAACAACAGTCCTCTGGGAATTCCCGTCTACAACTCGTCAGGCCCCGCCTACCATATCTGGAAGGGGGTGGAGCTCGCTGTCTCCACCTTCTGGCCAAACTACTACCAGGTAACACACACACACACACACACAGTCAGAGATCTGCTGTCAGTTATATCTAATTTAAACTAATATATGTCAAATAAATGAAGCCTCTGTGTGTGTGTGGGTCATAAACATCATCACAGCGGGCATCACTAATTAGCTGCATCACCGTGGTAACAGCAGCTCCTCGTTAGAGTGATGATTTAATGTGGGGGGGTGAGTAAAACAGGAAGAGATGGAGCGACAACGTCAGGAAGGAGAGAAGAAGAAGAAGAATGGAGGGAAGAGGAGGAGGGGGGTCTCCAGATGGAGGGAGGAGAACTTCCTGTCTCTGGACACCAACAGGAAGTGTTTGCCACTGGTCTCCGTGGCGATAAGACTGGAATGTGAACACACACAGATCAGATTCAACAATGAACCTGGACCACATCTGAAACTGTGTGTGTGTGTGTGTGTGTGTGTGTGTGTGTGTGTGTGTCAGGTTGTGTTCGAGGCCGTCAGCACCGGTCACAGAGGAGTTCTGGCCATCAAGGACATCACACTACAGGGACACCAGTGCAGTAAGCACACACACACACACACACACACACACACACACACACACACACATACATATATGGAAAGGCCCCGCCCCCTTGTAGAACAGGCTCCTAATTGGTTTGGCTGCTTAATTGAATAACGATGTTTAAAGTTGAGCTAACATCATAGAATCAAGGTCAGTGTGTGTGTGTGTGTGTGTGTGTGTGTGTGTGTGTGTGTGTGTGTGTGTGTGTGGAGACAAGGGAGCTCATTAAAATATAAATTGATTAGCATGGACTTTGATCCATCTGTTTATCTACCTGCCCGCATTTTTGATGTTGCTTTGTTATATGAACATAACACACACAC